CTTGTCTTAACTGAAGGCAAAATAATGTTCAGGACGTAAAAAAGGACGGAGGGAAAGACAAATGGGAAAAGCAGCAACTATGTGCTTTGCTGAAAATTAAAGGGTGGAAGTCAGTCATAATATCAGTAATACTGACATTGTATTGAGCATCACACTAAGTAACTTTTACATGGAAATAGTCTGTCACAATTGTGACAGTTATGTCACACTATGTGTGATGTTTACATGGTTGCAGTCAATCATATTGTAACAGTTATGTCACACTATGTGTGATGTTTCCATGGTTACAGTCGATCATATTGTGACATTATGTCATTGTGAGTGATGTTTCCATGGCGACAGACTATGGCATTATGTGATGTAACATTGTGACAGTCTTACACTGTAAGTAATGTTTACATAGTAATTCCGTCTCACTGTGAGTAATGTTTACATGATGAGTCCGTCACTCTGTGAGTATTGTTCACATGATGAGTCTGCAACACTATGAGTATTGTTGACATGATGAGTCTGTCACTCTGTGAGTAATGTTTACATGATGAGTCTGTCACACTGTGAGTAATGTTCACATGATGAGTCTGTAACACTGTGAGTAATGTTTACATGATGAGTCCGTCACACTGTGAGTAATGTTCACATTATGAGTCCGTCTCACTGTGAGTAATGTTTACATGATGAGTCTGTCTCAATGTGAGTAATGTTCACATGATGAGTCCGTCTCAATGTGAGTAATGTTCACATGATGAGTCTGTCTCACTGTGAGTAATGTTCACATGATGAGTCCGTCTCACTGTGAGTAATGTTCACATGATGAGTCCGTCTCACTGTGAGTAATGTTCACATGATGAGTCCGTCTCACTGTGAGTAATGTTTACATGATGAGTCTGTCACACTGTGAGTAATGTTCACATGATGAGTCCGTCTCACTGTGAGTAATGTTCACATGGTGAGTTCGTCACACTCTGAGTAATGTTCACATGATGAGTCCATCTCACTGTGAGTAATGTTCATATGATGAGTCCGTCTCACTGTGAGTAATGTTCACATGATGAGTCAGTCTCACTGTGAGTAATGTTCACATGATGAGTCTGTCTCACTGTGGGTAATGTTTACATGGTAACAGCCTGTCTCACTGTGAGTAATGTTTACATGGTAACAGCCTGTCACACTGTGAGTAATGTTCACATGATGAGTCTGTCTCACTGTGGGTTATGTTCACATGATGAGTCTGTCTCACTGTGGGTAATGTTCACATGGTAGCAGTCTGTCACACTGTGGGTTATGTTCACATGATGAGTGTCACACTGTGAGTAATGTTTACATGGTGACAGTCTGTCGCACTGTGAGTAATGTTCACATGATGAGTCTGTCTCACTGTGGGTTATGTTTACACGATGACAGTCTGTCACACTGTGGGTTATGTTTACACGGTGACAGTCTGTCACACTGTGGGTTATGTTTACATGGTAACAGTCTGTCACGCTGTGGGTTATGTTTACATGATGACAGTCTGTCACACTGTGGGTTATGTTTACATGGTAACAGTCTGTCACGCTGTGGGTTATGTTTACATGGTGACAGTCTGTCACACTGTGGGTTATGTTTACATGGTAACAGTATTGTCACACTGTGGATTATGTTTACATGGTAACAGTCTGTCACACTGTGGGTTATGTTTACATGATGACAGTCTGTCACACTGTGAGGCAGTGTTTATATGACAAAAATCTGTCACATTTTATGTGAAGTTTACATGGCGGCAGTATGTCATATTGAGTAATGCAAACATGGTGATAATCTGCTACATTCCTGTAGATAACTAATTAAAAATAATTTTTACAAGAATTTAAATTCTGTTTCTTCAAAGCTCAATATAATTACTCCCTTTCAAAAATGAAAGTTGAAACTAAAAGAACTATTTTGACATTTTTGTAAAACATTTTAAGATATTGACATGATGTTTGGTTTGTTATTTTCAGGTGGAATCTCCTAGTAGAAGAGGGTGGCTGCTGCACTTTACATGGAAGGCTAACAAATACCATACAGAGCTATAACAGTAAAGTGTCTAAACCAAGACAGCACATACCAGTTTGTGTTAGTCATTGTTAGTCCTCACATTAACAATAAAAAAATCACAAAATAGAAAATATTTCTATAAATTGAATCTTTACCCTAATTGACAGACCACGCAAGAAAATGGCAACATTCAAAGTCTTTACACATCAGACTGAATTGCAGACTACTTAAGGAACTTGCACCAAAACTTTTTGAAAGAAAGACAGACACAAAAGGCCCATATTCACTTGCTGAAATTTGCAAAAGAAAAAACTTTGAATGAAAAAATGTCAACACATAATTAAGTGCTTATGAAGGGAAAAAAAAAATGTGATTTTTTTCTTCCTTAAAAATCGTGAAAGATACCTATAGAATATTCCATTTCAGAATCTCTTATTATGAATAATCCACCAACGGGAAGCCTGCAACTGCAGGTAAATCCTTTGAGAGCCATAGCATCTTCTCTTCAAAATGGAAATTAGATTTAAAGGAAATTCCACTACATACCTTATTTATGACAAAAGTCTGACAATTTTTAATTAAAGTGAGCTTCAGAAAAGCTTAAATAAAAAGAAATTCATTAATCACATGGAGACAAAAGATTTTGGACCAACAAAAACAACTAATTAGGCATAAATACATGCTTTTCCTGTTCGATTTTGAAATCTCAGCTCTATATCTATGGTCACAATCATTACATCAAAACAGTTGATGTCATTTGATTATCTACCCATATCATGACAGGTCAGATCATGTATATTACAACTCTGTGAGAGTTGGTAATATTTATGGGGGACCAGATTGTGTGATATCAAATACAAAGAAAACACATTTTTACACAGAGCAAAAATCTCAGAACATTTATACCTAACGTCTGTATATACGGCTACCGATTTAATACAGGTGAGGAATCTAAAAGAAATAAACTAGCCCAAAAAGAAACGCCACAAAATATAAGCCCCATGAAATTCAACAACTTTACAGTATTCAGTTTAAAACATGGCAATCGAGCAAGTCTAGATAAGCATGTATAGAAACTGTGTAATAGATTTGGTACAGAAGAAGACAACTGGAACTGTAGCGACTCTGGAACTTGATAGTGAGTCAGGAAGATGGCACATGAAGATATTCACGAGTTTTATTCATGAGATAACAACACTAAGAATCTTTCATTTTGCTAAGCTTCTGTATAAAAGTGAAATAAATAATGATTAGGCTTCTGTTTATCACATAATTTTAATACTTTCACAAAATTTGTGAAAAAAATATTTTATCTTTAAGAGAATTTCTTTCACTTTGATTATTTACTTTTTGTAAAGATTAAAAAAAATGTTAAAGTTCATGTTTTTTGAAAAATAACTTCCCCAGGGAAAGGATACAAATTACAACAATCACCTGGTATGTAACTTCTAAGTATACAAAACCTTAAAAAAATATCATCAAGTACACATCATGAAGTTTGGGAGGTAAATGTTGGGGTACTTTAAATATAACATCCAAAATTTAGATGGGTGTACAGGTACTTCATATCTAAAAGTCTCAAAAAAAAAAAAAAACAAACAAAACAAACAAAACAGAACAAAAGGGGGAAGGGGAAGGGGGAAGAAGGGGGAAAGGGTGAACAGAATATTCAGCAAATGGAAAATATATTTCATTTTGTGGGAATATCTCCAAATTCTAAATTTATCAAAACAAATGCTTTAAATAGAAATGAAAAAAAAAGATGTCAATGAAATGATTGCTCTTAAAATATTTTCAATCTGCAGATGACATACAAAATGATAAATCTGCATGTATCTCTGCAGCTAATGACATAAACAGATAACACTGAATTTTTTATCTACCTACACAGATTTCATTTATTGTTCTTTAAACGTCAGTATTGACAAACGACAAGTTGCTAAATTCATTGCTATCAAGTTCTGTATATCATCTGGAGACATTTAAATAATCACGACCAATTCATAAATATATGACAGTTCTACTCTGCTCAACTTGTCAAGTGCTGTAATTTACTCAAAATAATGCATTTAATTATAACAAACTTCAACACAAACTATTATCTGATTTGGTAAGAACAGATCCCATAATAATGTATCATTATTTTCAAAAAAGAAATTTACTGATAACTAAGAAATACATGTGCTAAATTAGTGTCACAAACAATGAAAATAAATAAAAGATTGCATACTTGTACATATGACCTACATGTACATATAAAGTAAATTTATCATAATAAGCATAAATAATGCATAACATTAAGAACTGGTGTAACATATATGCTGATTATAAGAAACAAAACATCAAACACGACAACACTTTATAAAAGATTTATAATACAACATAATTATATTTAGCACTGTGCTGCTATTGTAGACTAATCAAAACATACTTATAACTCCCAATACGGAACTATCGCCTTACACAAAATCTAAAAATAGCTTATTAATATACTATATTTCTAAACTGGGCAATATTGCAACGATGCATTCATAAAATACCTTGAAAAGTTTTATACAGCACTGTATGTTTTTGTTTAACAATCAACAATGTTAAACTAAAGAATAAGGGCTAGCGTGCAGTCGTCACACGCTGTGTGTACATGTGTATTAGACAATGTACGCGTCGCTGTTTTTGTATTTTTTATTATCTCAAATTTACCTAAACAAGTGAAACAATGAAATATGCAGCACAAAATGAAAACAAGTAGAAAAATAGATTATAAATCAAGAACATAAGATATCTGACAAGGACGCAAAGCGCCCCTGCTCGATCGAGTCGTGAACTCATGTACAACATAAATACACACACACATACAACGCGCCGCTGGTTGATAACAAACTTATTCATCTAAAATGCAAGGGTATCGCTTGAACACCCGATATCACAAAACCAACAAGATAATATACAATTTAAACAGGAAAAATCAAAATAAAAACTCTTACCGTTTCATCCATTATTTTGCAATTGCTTCGTTATTCTTTCATGACTTGAAACTTTTTGTTGGTCCGCTTCTCGCTGTGTCGCGAGCTGTCTTTTCAGGGAATATATCGCTAATGGCGGTCGGTTTCTGTCTGTCAGTGGAGTGTATTATAAACGGATGTGACGTCACATTGACACTGTGGGCTTTGTGTAGGCTTCTTTCTGCAAAACAGAGCATTGCTCTCCACGTTTCCAAACACGATGCTGCTTAACAACGTGGGTTTTGTGTAAACTTTTTCCGCTATTAGAATATTTATATAAAGATCTAACAAATGCTATGCTGATCTAAATCGAAAAAGGAATGTTTTCCATTTTAAACAACGAACTCTTTTAATTGAAATTGACTTTCACAATTGCAAGCAAAAATGATAATTTTCAATATGAAAGTAGATAAAGAGAAAGTTAAAAACTAGATTACTCTTTGTCTCGTTTCTTTCGCTTCTTTTACAGACAATGATTTATTTAATGTCTCCTTTATTGTAGGAAAGCGATAAAAGTAGACCGCCGAGGAGGTTTTGTTGATATCAACTAATGGACAAGAATTTTGTCAGAAAACATGAAGCGGTACTCTGAAAGATAACATGTTGATAACTGGTAATATGTATGTTATTAAAACAACGAACTCATTAATTCCGTAACTCACTTAATTAATAGACATTCATTAATCTGCACCAATAGCGATCGAATGCAGATTTTGATACGTTTTATTTTAGCAAGCATCAGACGTAAAAATAGTGACAGGTTTTATTTTTAGGATCATCGTAATAAAATGATTCGTTTATTTATGTAAACAGGTTTTCCAAGTCGACGTCATGATACGAAAATAGATTTGCAAGAATATAACGATATTTGAATGTCACTATCTGATGTCACAATAGGCCATACATTATGGAATCTACATAAAATATACATCTATCCTGACACTGACTTTCCTCTAACTACATAAACTATACATCTATCCTGACACCGACTTTCCTCTAACTACATAAACTATACATCTATCCCGACACTGACTTTCCTCTAACTACATAAACTATACATCTATCCCGACACTGACTTTCCTCTAACTACATAAACTATACATCTACACCGACTTTCCTCTAACTACATAAACTATACATCTACACTGACACCGACGTTCCTCTAACTACATAAGATATACATCTACACTGACACCGACGTTCCTCTAACTACATAAAATATACATCTATCCTGACACTGACTTTCCTCTAACTACATAAACTATACATCTACACTGACGTCCCTCTAACTACATAAACTATACATCTATCCTGACACTGACTTTCCTCTAACTACATAAACTATACATCTATCCCGACACTGACTTTCCTCTAACTACATAAACTATACATCTATCCCGACACTGACTTTCCTCTAACTACATAAACTATACATCTATCCTGACACTGACTTTTTGTCTAGTTTTTCCTGTAACTGACGTATTCAGTGATCACATGATTCATGTTGCTGCATATTATACAATCTAATTATTGTTGTTTGTGTTCTATAAGTTGTGAATCACCAAAACGTACAAATAATATATTAACTGTAATTCACAGCTTTTACAAATGCCGATCCAAAATATCGAATTTACCTTAGTTTTCACGCGGTTTACGCGAAAAGTATCTCTGATTTCCTTAGTTTGTCAGTATGAAAAAAAATGTGATCAAGATTGATGTATGCTTGTCATTTCATAAAATATTTCGTTTCAGAAAGAGCTTGTGATAAATGACCAGCGTGCCAATTCTACGGAGTATACGTGACCAGAATTCTTCTGATGTTCAATTATCACACGGTTTCGAGTATACGTTACAAGACTGAGCTGGATTACAAAATTATAAATAAGCACGCGTTCGTTACAAATTGGATGTATATGAATATGTAAAAAAATTGAATCAAATTTATCTTTGAAGCTTTAAAAATATAAAATGAAATAATCTTTTATAATCATGCGGTTTGGTAATAAAAGACGTCTGCTTTATGAAATGTACCAGCCGGTTAATTTTTTCCCAATTTCCGCAATTAAGTCACTGCCATCATATCAATTTACCATATTTTTATCAAGGTTTTCAAAAGTGTTCATGTTACAAACATTTCTTTCACATTTATAGGACTGATCTCATTTCTGCTGCTGTATTTTGCAGAACATCAAAGTTTTCCCTTTGTTTAATTCTTACTGAAGGTCAAGACTTTTCTTTTGTTTATTCAATATTATCAAGACATTTCGATTCTAAAAAAGTTAATACTTTTCATTTGTTTAAATATTCCATTCCAGAATGTCAATGGAATTTGTTTGAATTTATCAAAATGTCACGAATCCCCTTGGTGAAATTCAACACATTGTCGTTGCCATGACACCCTTTGTTTGAATACTTCAGAACATCGAGACTTTCCCTTTGTTACCATTCGAGAAAGACTTTGTTTCAGTTCAGTAAGTGTCAAATCTGCAGAATGTCACAAAATTTTGTTTCGGTTCAGATTCAGAATAATTCCAAGATATCACATTTGTTAAAATTCAACAGAAATTGGGATTGATCATATAGACAAAGTGATTTAAGACATTTGAATATCTGTAAAATACGAAAAAAGCCTTTTGTTTAAGAAGAGCAAAGCGACTTCTTTAAACTGAAGAAAATTGAAGCATTTTCGTTGTTTAAATTCAGAAGAATTTGAAGACAATTAATTTGGTCGCATCCTACAGTACGTCAACATAATGCACTTGATTGAATTTCACAGAATGTTGACATTTTTTTTAATTCAGAAGAATGTCAAGAATAATTTTTTGAATTCAGGATGAAATTTTGCATGAAATTTGCAGAACGTTCCCATTTTCCTTCATTTGATTTTCAGCAGAGTGTCATTAAAATGTTCGACACCTGCGGAATATGAAGACATGTTTTGATGAAGCAGATAACTCCAACTCTTCCGCAACAACTGGCCTCATTATTCTTGTACCTTATTAGGAGTCGATGTACGAAAATCTGTCTTTTTCTTATTGTTTCCTAGTTTCATCGAATTCGAGTTTGAATTAAGATTCTGTTGACATGTTGGTATTTTTTTTTGTGGTTTTTAAATTCAAACTCCAATGTGGAAGATTTTCCTGTCTGGAATACCTAGTCTTATTCTCGTGTCGCTTGTGAAGGCTATCCGTGTAATTATTTCTTTTGTTTATATTCTACCTTCATTTCATCGATTTTGTGATTGGTTGAACATTATGTTGGTATTCAAGTATTTTCCTGATTGCCTCTGCCTTTTACAAAAATGTCAAGTTGTTCCCCCCCTTTTTTTTATTAAGCAGAGTGTTGACAATTTGTTTGAATGCTGAAGAAGTTTATGAAAATCTTTGGGCATTACCGTTGTTTTAAATACTCTCTTCGTTTGAGGGGTTGTGTATATATGAACCAAGAAAAATATCACGTGCGTACTCTTGAAAATGTACAAGGAAAATAAGAAGAGGTTGCCTTGAAGCGTCGTCTACATCTCTGATGATTCTTGCTACATAAACAGGTCAATCCGAATTTTTTTGGTAATATTCCCATGGCAATCACGAAACTGACGGAACTGAGTAAGTTCGTCAGCCAAAAGAGGGACAGAGTAAGTTCGCCAGCCAACAGAGGAACAGTAAGTTTGTCAGCCAAAAGAGGGACAGAGTAAGTTCGCCAGCCAACAGAGGAACAGTAAGTTTGTCAGCCAAAAGAGGGACAGAGTAAGTTCGCCAGCCAACAGAGGAACAGTAAGTTTGTCTGTCAACAGAGGGACAGTGAGTTCGTCGACCAACAGAAGGACAGAGCAAGTTGGTTAGTCAACAGAGGGACAGAGCAAGTTCGTCAGTCAACAGAGGGACAGTAAGTTATAAGGCCAACAGAGGAACAGTAAGTTCGTCAGCCAACAGAGGGACAGAGTAAGTTCGTCAGCCAACAGAGGAACAGTAAGTTTGTCTGTCAACAGAGGGACAGTGAGTTCGTCGACCAACAGAAGGACAGAGCAAGTTGGTTAGTCAACAGAGGGACAGAGCAAGTTCGTCAGTCAACAGAGGGACAGAGCAAGTTCATCAGTCAACAGAGGGACAGAGCAAGTTCATCAGTCAACTGAGAGACAGAGGAAGTTCGTCAGTCAAGAGAGGGACAGAGGAAGTTCGTCAGTCAAGAGAGGGACAGAGGAAGTTCGTCAGTCAAGAGAGGGACAGAGCAAGTTCATCAGTCAACTGAGAGACAGAGCAAGTTCGTCAGTCAAGAGAGGGACAGAGGAAGTTCGTCAGTCAAGAGAGGGACAGAGGAAGTTCGTCAGTCAAGAGAGGGACAGAGGAAGTTCGTCAGTCAAGAGAGGGACAGAGTAAGTTCGTCAGTCAAGAGAGGGACAGAGCAAGTTCATCAGTCAACAGAGGGACAGAGGAAGTTCATCAGTCAACAGAGGGACAGAGGAAGTTCGTCAGTCAACAGAGGGACAGAGGAAGTTCATCAGTCAACAGAGGGACAGAGGAAGTTCGTCAGTCAACAGAGGGACAGAGGAAGTTCGTCAGTCAAGAGAGGGACAGAGGAAGTTCGTCAGTCAAGAGAGGGACAGAGGAAGTTCGTCAGTCAAGAGAGGGACAAAAAAGTTCAAATGATAACGGCTTTTCATTTCCAAATTCTTTCATTTTGCAATTCAAAGTGGAAAAAAATGTTTTCCAAGGTTAAATTTAATATTTGTAACATTAAAAACACAACTACATGTATATGCAACAAAGATGACATCTTGAAGGTCATATCTGGCTTCTGTTTGCGACAAGATTTTCTTCCAACATATGTTTTTACTGACGATGTTTGAAGACATTTTCTACTGGGAATGCGATGTTTGAATAATGGTTGTTGTGTTACTGAGTTATTTGATTCATGTCCACAGTTTGTCTTTATGTGTAAATGTAACAAACCATAATATTGACCTTAGTGACAGACAACTTAATGTTTCTCATATCTTAATGCTGTATTTTAATGTATATTAGCGAAGTTAGTTAAATGTGTAGGATATT